TGATGTGGGGGATTTTTCCCCCCCTTCTCCACATTATCTAAACAAAAATTAGGTCATGCCATATTTGCTCTCTGGGTAAAGTGACATTTTTTTCAGCTGCTCAGACTTCTCTATAATTATTAGGAATGACCAATATGGAACAAAAGGTCAGACCTTTCTAATTACTCCTTTGTCTAACAGCGATGACGTAACATCTTCTTTCAGAGAACAACTTGGAAGATTCAAAAAAAAAAGAACGAGAGCCATTTTTCTCATTGGTTCCCATACTTAAGAATGCTTTATATATCTGTTATTGTTATTGTTGTTTTTAAGTGTCATTGAGTCAAGTACAACTCATTAGCAACCCTATGAACAAAAGATCTGCACCCTATTCTATAATTATCATTGTTTCTCTAATATTCATAGAGTTCCCGAAGGCCGGTTAAGAAGTAGATGCCAATCCTGCTTTCAAGCCTGTCTTAATCTGGGAGCTCTACCACATCCCGTCCACTATTAGTAACCAGTCTGATATTTGACACATCAGTGGAACAGCATTCAGTATCACAGAAACCCCAAGTTATCTCAGTACGGCAAATTGACAAACCAGTGCTATACTACTTAGAAGATTGTTCTTCCCAAAGATAGTTAACCACAGACCCAACAGTTCACACCCGACTTTCAACTAACTCAAGAGAACCTACTCTCCAGAATCCAACAGCTTCACACATGAGCCTTCAAACTAGCCTCCAGACTGAGTCAGGGCCCAGGTGACCTTTAACTATAAAGGCCTGCCTACCAGGTCCTGATTGACTTAAACAAGAGGCTTCCAGCCCACAGCTGATTGTTAACTAAATCCAGGTGACTTACACACAATTGTTAATGAATCAAAAACTGACCCAACACTTTACACTCAACTTTCAACTAAATCAAGAGACCCTACCCTCCAGAATCCAACTGCCTTACACATGAGCCTCCGCACTGGAGACTTAGTCAGGGCCCAAACGACTTTTAAATACAAAGGTCAACCCACCAGGTCCTGAGTGAGGGCAATATTCTGTAGAAGTCCTGATCTGGAGATTGATGCTAAATTCAGACTTTCTGCATCTTGGGTTTGTGTGGGTTTGTTTTTTTGTTTTGTTTTTTTTACCTCTGAATCTTGACTCTTCCTATAGGGCACATAATTACATCAGTGGGCTAAGCTAGAGGCCAAGTGAGCAAACCCTGCCTGTGTAGCTGTCTACATAGTAAACATCAGCATAAATTCCATCTCCTAACTGTGGGGGAATCTAGTCTGAACCCTCCTGATTCTTCATTCTCTTCACCAGCACTTTCTCTCTTTGGCTTTTGCCTCTCTGAATTGAGGGACGGTTCTAGTGTGAAACATCCACGTCCCAAGAACAGATGTGCTACCGTCTCCTGTACATGGTCATTGTCAAGGTTAAGTACAACAGGAATAAGTAGCTTGCCTTGACAAACAAAAATGTTGTTTTCTCCCAGTTTAGAAGGCTAGAAGTCTAAATTCTGAGTGCAACCTTTAGAAGAAGGCCTCTCTCTCTCAGTTTTGGGAACTGTCCTTGTCTCTTCATCTTCTGGTGCTTTAAAGATCTGGTATTTTTGCATCTGTTTGACCCCAAGTCTCCTTTATTCACTTGTTTGATCTCTTTTGTGTCTCCAGAAGACTTAATTAAAGAGAAACCCTAAACTACTCTTGCCTTAGTAACAAAATACAAACAGTCTATTCCCAAATGGGACTATAACCACAGCCATAGTTTAGGATTTACAACATGAGTTTAGGGGCTAGATATTTCAAACTGTAACAGTCACCAACCAGGAAGCTCTTCTGAGCTTTGGCTTTCAGAGTTTTTAGTGACCTCCTCCCATTTGATCATGATAGATTACACTGTGCCTTTTGATACTTAGTTAAACCAAATTACAAACCATTACTTAATGGTTAATTAACTAAAATGAATGATTTTTCATTTTTTCTTGAGGATACACTGGCCTGGAAGCAGGAGCGGCATCCACTTCCGAAATGGCTTGCCTCCGGAAACTCTATGTACGAACAGTGCTCAGGCCGTTCGTTCATAGGGTCGCTATGAGTCGTCTGCGACTCGACGGCATCAAACAACAACAACAACAACACTTCTAAATGAAGCATTTATGAGCAAGCAGAATATAGTTTTAAATCCCCATGGAATCCAGACAGTCTGGAGCCCCAAGAGCTGTGTGAAAAGTACTATTGCCTTGAGATCATCATTAAGACTATTTGGTTTACCAAAATATCCCCAGGCTTCTTAAAACCAAACAGTAGTTTAACTACTAAAAAATGCCACCCTTAAGTGTTATTGTCTTTTTAAGACCTAACTTAAACTCACCTCTGTGTATTTGGAACTGATTCCTAACTGACCTATTTGGTTTCTGAGACTGTAAATCACATGGAGGATTTCCCATCTTTCTCCCTTACAACTCCTGGTGGATTTGAGCCACAATAGGTTCTGCCTTTGGGTTTGCAGCACAATCCCCTACAAAATATACCACTGGACTCCCTTAAGGCAGATCTCTATGAAGCCTGATTGACAACATGAACTAAAAATAATTAAATAACAACATTATTAAGCAATGAGTTTTAATGGTGAGGAACAACTCAGAAAAGAAGGGTGAGAAATAGCATTCAAAGACTATCATCAGTGTGTCTGAATTGTACATGTGAAAACTGTTGAAATTGTGTGTGTGTGTGTGTGTGTGTGTGTGTATTTTCAAGAACCACAAAAATAAGTAAATGATAGGATTTTTTTAAAAAAAGATGCTTTTTCAGATGCAGACATCTTCGAAGAATATTTTTGTAGAATATCACAGACTTCTCAAATAGCCACATAAATATCACTAAGAAACTGTGAAAAAGACAAATTCTCAGTCCTTCTTCCTAACTTGCCATCCCACTGTACCACAGTCCTCATGTGTAGGGCCTAGTCATCTGAGTTAACCAGCACTTGGCTTGTTTCTGATGAACTAACAGTTAAAAGGCACTCGTCTAAAGAGATAGGATAGATTACCAAGGCATGACAATGGCCACTAAGCATTTCTCTGTGGTCTCAAAGAACCTTCATTTGTTTTAAATTTGTATATTAACAACCTAGCACATATAACCATCTATGATTTTAGTTCATGGTGACAGTATTATTACTACTTTAAAAATTAATCGTTTTCATCTCTTCTTGAGCACCCATCAAATGAAGTGTTTATGAGAAAGCAGTGGTCAATGAATAATAGTTGTTAATAAATGTCTGATGAACCTTACAGATTAAGCTGCATCATCATAGTGCTTCATAAAAAGGGGAAAGAAAGCATTAAAAAGAGAATAGATGAGAGCTCTGGTGGCCTAGTGGCAAGAAGTTTTGCTACAATCCTAAAGGCATATGGTTCGAATCCACCAGATGCTCTGCTGGAGAAGGAGGGGCAGTCTCCTCCTGTGCCAATCAGATCTGATTTGATGGTATACAACAAGGGGGAGGGGAGGGAATGTATACAAACTTCCTAATTAAACCAGTTTAAAGAGAATAGATTTCAAAATGCAGACCTTCTAAAATGCAAATATTTTCAATAAAAGATTGTAAAGGATCTTTGTATTGCTTTTCCATCCTATAAATTTCCATTATTACTATATTTTCTACTTGTTCATAGTTATAAGTATAGTTTCTTTTGGCCTTTATTACAGCGTAGTTGGCTTATAATAAACTGTATATTGAAAGCATTTAATTTGATTAATGTTGACAGTGCATACTACAAGAAGGTGTCCTGGTAGTGTAGTGGTTAAATGCTCAGCTGTTAACTGTAGGGTCTGTGGTTCAAATCCACCAGTGGAGTCATAGGAGAAAATACCTGGTAATATGCTCCTGGGGAAGATTACAGCTGAGGAAACGTTTGGAGGTATTTCTACTATGTCCAATAGGGATGTAATAGGGTCATGACTGATTGGAATTCATTCACACCCAGAGCCAATGACATAATAACAATAGCCTTTCCTTGCTCACTCACTCATTGCTGTTGAGTTGGAACTGACTCACAGTTGACCCTCCGTTGGGTTTCTGAGGCTGTCAAGTGGATGGGAGGAGATTACCCATCTTCCTCTTGTGGAGATGCTACTGCATTCGAATTTCCAGAGAGATGCAGTCCTTGGCTTAGCAGTGCCACTGCTTATGCACTGGACCAGCAGATCCTATAGCGAGCAAATAGCTTGTAATTGAATCTTATTGTAGATATCTCTTAGTCATATGCCACTCCCCTCCCAACTCCAATTGGAGTGGATTTGCAGGATAGGTTCTCTGAGTATGGTACCATGTTGTTATTGTGTGTTGTGGAGTCAGAAACCGCTCATAATTGACACTCCAACAGATCTTCCAAGGCTGTAAATCATGTGGGAAGAGATTGGCTATCTTCTGCAAAACAATGGAAGGATTTGAACTGCCGGCCTTTGGATTAACAGTGCAACCCCTTAGCCTCTAGGCTACTAGGGTGGGCAACTAGATAATAGCTCAAGAGCATAAGAAGGGAAATGTGTACAGGGTGGAAATGAAACTCTTTCACCTGTTTGACGTCTAGGGTCTAGCAGTACTTGTTATCTATCGTCACTGGGCGGGCTCCTCTGTTTCGTAAGATGCCAATTAACAGACGAACTTAATCGCTAGTGAGTTGTGCAGCCCTGTCCTGTAGTATAATGGTCTTGTCTCTCTAGCAGCCATCAGTTTCTGTCGTTGGGATACTCTGCTTAACTCTGTTCACCAGTGCACACTCACATGTGCGTTTTCCTGCTACATGTGTCCTATCACGTAACTCTGAGAGTGGTTCATTTGTGCTTCTATAAAGCAGTGGAATTGAATGCTTTGCTTTTTTTATTACCTTTTACCTCTCCTCACACCCCTCAAGCAGATCATCCCATCCCTGAACGACTGCCATCATCCCCATGTGCTTTGCTAGGACTGTACCTTTTGGGCTGAGGTGTTCATTCTCTCTCCCCCGTGCAGGCTGGCTCCACGAGCTGGGAAAGCGCCTGGAATCGCCCTACTACGGCAACAATACCATGGGGGGCCCGTCGATCCGAAGTGCCTATATCGCTGCCCTCTACTTCACTCTCAGTAGCCTCACCAGCGTGGGCTTCGGGAACGTCTCTGCTAACACGGACGCCGAGAAGATCTTCTCCATCTGCACCATGCTGATTGGGGGTGAGAACTTCCTCCTTGCACGAGCGTCCGACTAAAGACTGCTTTCCCGTTTTCTCCATCCTTAAATGTGTTAGAGAGAAACTGGTTTACGTGGGAGGGTTCTAAAGCTAGAATGAGAAACCCAGCGGCCAGTGTTTTAATACCCAATTTTATTGAAATTCAAGTCTATGGTATCAGAGTCCTACTTCTTGTGCAGATAAAAAGGACCATTGATCTAATGGTTTGTTCTTAAGAACAGGCATGATTATTATTTTATTTTCTAAAAGTTTTGGGGGTGTGAAAATATACACAGCAAAATAGAACCCTGTTCAGCAATTTAGCATGTGGGTTTCACTGACAGCAATTACATTCTTCTCATCAGCATCCTTGTATCTCTGCCCTCATGACCCCGCCACCACTCCCTTGGACCCTCTGGCCCTGACAGTTCTCTCATCTGTACTGCAGAGCCGTTGTTAATTCAGTCTCATAGAGGTGTTTCTTCCATAGGGTGCAATGTTCAAGGCAAGAATTCTTTATTTCTTGAGCTAAATTGTTGTTCCCTATAAAGATGATGATGTGTGATAGTTTCAACTCAAAGTTCAATCTATATTTATGAGAAATAGATTCCAGAGTCTCTCTAGTCTCTTTGTATCCTAAAAGTCCGAGTTCCTATAAGAATTTCAGCATCCGTTCCTCAGTTTTCCTAAATTGATTATGTAGCCATCAGTCAGATCCAGGACCAGAATATTCAGTGATGGCAGCTGGGCCCACCCCTTTCTTCTGGCTCATGGCAAGAGTCCTCTTGAATCATCAACAAAATAGACTGACACAGCGACTGCGGCAATGGGCTCAAGTGTGTCCCAGAAGATGAGGATGGCAGAGAATAGGACAGGGCTCAGATCTGTTGTTCATAGGGTCACTATGAGTCACACTTGACTTGACAGCGCCTAACAACAGCAACAACAACATAGCAAGAGAAATAGTAGTTCATGGAGATCATGAAACCTACGCGCCATCTCTTTCTCCAGTTTCTGTATTTGCTTCTCCTTCCTTTATTGCTCCAGGAATTAGAGCCTAATTCATGTAGTTGGGAAGTCTCCTTGTAAGCTGGTAAAATCCCGGGGATTCATAAAGCTAGGAGAAGAGCCCAGACTTTTCAAATACAATTAGACCAGTTGACTGGACAGGGTCAGTCAAACGCTCTTGAAATAAGAGAAAACACTTGAAATAGGAGAATGAGTCCTACTGGATGTTTATTTAGAAATAAATATTATTAATAGCTGCAACTTTTTCCCTTTTTGTTGCAGAATTAAATGTAGCATTCTGTTTATAATTTAACTCTTCCTTTTAAAAAATATTGCTAGTGTATAGCTTCATGGTATCAATTGCCATAGCCAATGTGTGTAACTCTTATACTTAATTGATGCCAATTTTCTAATCGCCATGGATAAGTATTCAGTATTTCTCACAGAATGATTCTCTTTTCTTCTTCCAACCATTGATAACCATCACTAACCATTGGTTTCATTTAGCTTATTTATTTAACTATAATTGTCACTTTGTGATAGATTCATTTCACTCAACATAATGGCTTCCGAGTCAACCCATTCCTATTGTAGCACGTGTCTTATCATTGTTTCTCTTTAAGGCTGAGAAATTTATAATATGTATGGACTGTTCTTTCTGTCTATGTGTTCATTACCTGAAGGCATACGGTTTCCAGCATCTTGCTGTTGTGAACCATGTTGCAGTGAACATCCCAGTAGACGTGGGTGGCTGTGTATTTGCATCTCCACTTTCAGGTCCCTAGGCTATATTCCTGCACGTCAGGGTGCTAGAGTGTCTTCCTAGTTTTGTTTCCAATATTTTTGAGGACTTACCATACTGTGTGATAGCTGTTTGTACTGTTAATGAGAACTCTGGTAGCACTGTGCTTAAGGCAGTCAACTGCTAAACAACAACAACAACAAAAATGTTAACTCGTTGAGCCCCCCAGCCATTCTGCAGGAGAAAGCTGGGTCAGCCTCATTCCAGAACTCACAGCTTCGGAAACCCAGAGGGAGCAGAGTTCTACTCTGTCGTACAGGTTTGCAGGGAGACAGAATCAACTCGGTGACAGGAGGTTTCTGCTGCTTTGATGCTGATGACGCCTGTGGCTCTGTGATTACACACTCAGCTGAAGTGTCAGCAGTTCAGATCAACCATGAGATAAAGACGTGATAGTCTACTTTCCAAAGGATTACGGCATTGGAAACCCAATGGAGGCAGTTTTTTGCTATCTTCCATGGTTGCTATAAACTGCAGAGGGTGTGGTTAATATAACCAACGACAGCGAGCATGTTTTCAGGTGGCTAGAATCTCCTCATGGGAGAAATGTCTGTTCAAGTCCTTTGCTTTTACCTGTCTTTAATTGGATTATTTGACTTTCACTCTTAGCTGTTATTTACGATGCTTATCATGCTTATGTGAGTTGCACAGTCAAAAGTATATGTTTATTAAATTAACAAGCAATAGTATTCTGAGTAGAGGTTCTAGTAGTGGCACAAATCAAGTTACAGAGGTAAGGTGGTTCTTACAATAAAAGGCCTATAGACTAGCACTTTGTCTATTATAGTGTACAAGTTAGGAACCACAAGATGTAGAGACTCAGCTATGTCATTTATGGTTCTTAAGTCTTGGAGCAAATTCCATCTACCACTGGGCTGTTTTACAACTCGGAATTAAAAAAAAAGAAAGAAAAAGTATATGTTTAAAACTCTCTTTGCCAATGCAATGAAAGCTATGAGCATTAGAATGCAACAACAGGACTGCCCTATTATTTCAGATCTTACAAATTTCCCCCCATGACAGGATGCAGTGTTTGTACTTGTATGTCACTCATTTTAGTCTCAGATATGGAATTTACCTTCTTTGACAAATTTTCGCCTCCCCAAGTCCCAACTCTCTCAGGCACTGCTGTGTTAAGTCCCAAACTGGTTGGTGTTTTCAAATATTATTCATGCTGATGTAGTAGACGGAGGGTTCTGGTGGCCTAGTGGTAAGAATCTGCGCTGCAATCTCAAAGGCATATGGTTTGAATCCACCAGCTGCTCTGTGGGAGAAGGATGCGCAGTCTTCTCCTGTACAATTACTGCCTCTGAAAACGTGCTAGGGAGTCAGTTATTGGTCAGTTCTAACTTGATGACACACAACAACAACAGTGTTGACTAAGGATAGTAATGACTAAGGATATTTGACAGATCACTTGGTTAAATAACAAAATAGTAAAACAAAAAGTGCCAGCGCAGTAATAGTAGATAATATTTGTTGACTGCTTGAATATTCGATATTATTTTAACTGTTTTAATGGTAGGTGACGCCAAATAGAATATGTCCTTGGCGACACTGAGGCTGGCAGATCTGAACCCTGCCCTATCCTGTGCCATCCTCCTCATCCCTGACACACTTGAGTCCATTGCTACAGACTGTGCCAAGCCATCTCACTGAGGGTCTTCCTCTCTTCCACTGACCCTCTGCCTCTCCAAGCACGATGTTCCTCACAATCCAATATCTTAAATAATATTGAAAGCAAGTTCATGAGTTTGACTGTATTACTATCCTTTTTACAAATTTTCATATTCTTATAGTATTGCCTCTAAGCTCCAAAACCAGCCTTGCCTACTCTGCTTTGTAATTTTGGGGTATAGCAGCCAACCTCACCTTTCTTTGCCAGCTGGTGGCCAGCTGTGCCTGCCGACAGGGGACTGGAAGGAGACAGGAAGTCAGGAGGGGAGACAGGTCTGCCTTCAGCAGCAGCTTCATGTTGGCAGACGTGCTTGATTTCAGCCTTCAGCATCATTAGACACTGTTCGAACCAACCTCAGTGTGTCCCTCAGACATCCCTGTATCAGTGGGGTGTGCTTCCTCTTCTAAAGGCAGAGCCCTGGCTCCTGGCAGGTCCCTTTGTTCCCTGCCCTTGGCATCTCAGGGTTCTTCAGTCCTGACGACGCTGCTTGTTACCTTTGCTGGTCCAGCTCCTTTCTGCACTTGACCTGTGCTGCCTCTATCTGTGTTCCTTTGTTGTCCACTCAGCCTCTAACAACAGCAAAGCCAGTTTTCTATAGTAAATCCCGTCTGTTGAAAATGTAACACTAAGTCAGGTGGACACAGCCTCTGCCGTCATGGAGCTCAAAAGTTAATGTGATGCCCCCAAACCTGCCTTACTCCCCTATCTCTCTTCGCTCTCTACCCCCTTCACCTCTTTGTCTCCATCATTTTCTCTTTCTCTGTATAATGTCATCCATATTCTCTCTCTCTCTCCTCCCCTCTCCTCCCCTCCCCTCCCC